CAAGTATCTGCACCACAAACAGTAGAACATGTTAGACAGCCAAAAGGTCCTCCATCATTATTGCAATCAGAAGAAGATTTCAAAAATTATTACATAACCAAATACTTAAAAGATATGAGCATATTTAGTCAAAAAGAATTAGACACAGACTATTCTATAAAACCTTTTCAAAGACTTTATCCTCAACAAAACCAATCTATGAGAATAGATAGAATAGAATCGAAAATAGATGAAATCAGTCAAATGATATCTCAATTCGAAAGGATGATGGTCGATAATCAATCCAAAAAACCTGTAGCTAAATCAAATTTAACATATTGATACTTTCCTCCTCTAATACCTTCTCAATTCCAATATGCATTTCCTAATTTGAATGATAATGAGGATGAAGAAGGTGGATATAATGAGGAAGAGAATAGATGGCATGTTCTATCTCAGTCAGAAAAAAAAAACAGGTACCAGTAAATGAAAAAATGCTTCCAGAACTTAGTTAGCCTGAAACATATGATGAACTATTACCAAAGCTTTCACTGACAATGTGAAATATGTATTAGTCTCATATAGTCTGAGAAAAAGAATTAAAATCAAATGAGTGGTTTTCATCATTACAATACTTGTATTGTAATATAAATAATCTATTGATCACTAATTCTTTTTTAGATAGCACAAGTGAATTCAGAGGAGTGAATGATGCAACAATTAATGCCCTGAGATGGAAAGCTGACAAGCCATCTAACTTTGCTATAAAGGGTAATTCCAAATATATAACCGAATCATTAGGATGATATATAGATGTGCCAATTAGTATAAAGGACAAGGATGGATAGATTGTTACAGCTACTGGAAATTTTGCTCATATTAATAATGGGAAACCCAAACCAATGTTATGTTTAGGTATGACATGGATTTGAAAAGTTTAAGGTGTTCTTGATCTAAATAAAAATCAATTCTGAATGAAGTTACATAGGAAGACTTACATTATTCCAACTTTTAGCAAGACTTCAGAAATAAACGATCTACCAAAAGAGAAGCAGAACCAAGTATCTACTGATTCCTCTAGCCCGATTAGTAAAGACTTAAAAAAAAATGTAAAGATCTTGAAAAGCGTCTCTTGAAAACTGAGAAATGGCTTGACTTGGCATTAAGGACTGGAAAGTTTTTTGCTGATATATGTGAATCTTTATGTAGAAGAGATATCAAAAGTACCAACTGAGCTTTTAAGCTTTTCAACTAAGTTTTCAAGAAGAGATTTCAACCTTTTTTCTTGGGATATATTTGGCAAATTATTAGAGAGCATGTCATCTTTGTTCTTATTTTTTTCTTGTCTTATTTCTAATTCTTCTTTTTTTGACCATTCTTTTTTGGAATCTTCATAGTTGGAGTGGACATAGATGGTACTAGTGGTACCACTTCAAGATTCTGTTTTGACTTATCAGTCTTGAAATTTTCATCCAAAACAAACTGAGATAGAATGGCCTCTTGCTGGAGGCATTCTTTATTATCCCATATTTCGTAAACATGTTTAGGTTCGATATGGAATTTATCAGCCATTTTTTTTGATGCATTGGGTATCTTACCTCTGGATTCTCTAATTTTTTTGATAGCATCATCTGATAATAGGGTTGCCTTAGCATTATGGATATAGGCTACCATCTTTACTAGATTATTATACTAGAAAAAAAATATTAATGCTTTTCAATAAAATATCAATGCATATCAATGTGTGCATATCAATACTCTTCAATAAGCATTAATATTTTTTCAGGATGTATTGATACTTTTCAATATATATTGATATATTTCAATGTCCACCAATGCATATTAATAAGCTTCAATGCTCACCAATGTGTATAAATATAGTAATATCTATAAAAAATATCTTGCTTCCAATGCCAAAAATTCTAGCGGTATCTATCTATTTTTTTTGCCTAAAGAAAAAAAAAATACCAATAAAATGTACCAGATCCATACTTTAAAAGATCTGGATAATGGTAATAAACTTGGAGATGCTCCAGTTAATTATTATCCTCCCAGCTGAACAGAACTTAAAGAGCAACTTTCTTGTACAAAAAAAGATCGTGAAGTTGTTATATATTGGGGAAATCGGTTTACAGATAATTATGATGTCTTAGATAGAGAAAAAAGACATACAGGATTCTCTAAATCAATCAAAAAAAGAAAATAAGCACATACAGAATGACCTTGATAAATCCAAAAAAGAAAATAAGTGCATACAGAATAATCTTGATAAATTCAAAAAAGATAATGAGAAGCTTTCTGATCATGTTCACCAGCTTGGAGAAGAAACAATGTGGTTACAATTAGAAATAGATAACTCCAAGCTTGGGGATGAAATAAGACATTTACATTTAGAGATAAATGACCTTAAGCTTCAGATCATTCGCAAGGATATTTCTTTTGCAGATGCCGAAAGCAAATTTTCTATAAAATTGAAGGAGATGCAAGCCCTCCAATCCAAGATAGAGAAAAAGATATAGGCTCTTTAATCAAGAGTAAAAGAATTAGAGCAAGATCTTTTTTTAGCACAGAATGAGTTATCAGAAATGGAATCTCTTGAGCATAAATTTGAACAAAAAAAGATATTACTATCTGCTGAAAACACTACCCTAAATTATAAAAAAATGGAGTTAGAAGAAACTCTGTCTAAAGAAAGAAATAAATTAATATAGATAAAGGATAATTTAGCTTCAGCACAAAAGGCATTATTAGAGAAAGATTCACTTCTTCAAGAAGCTAATGCTCATTTAGCAGAGCAGATTTCAGAAGTATCTGGTTAGTCGAAGTATAATGAAATGATTGAAGGTGTTAGCAGACTAGAGAAAGGTAATAGCATCACTAATCCTGAAACAACCTTACTATCATCCAATTCTTTTAGCAGAATATGGTCTTTATCATAATAATGATATTACTAATCATATACTTCTTATGGTGTATATCTTCTTATATATATTCTTTTATTTCACTCCTCAATAAAGAAAAAAATATTCTGAATTATAAAACACCCTTAGATAGAAATCAGAGTTATGGATTCCCAATCCATTATACAAAAGAACCCAAAAAAAAAACTACCACCTATGAAACTCTACCTTATGGATATGGATGAGGCCACAAAGCACAAATTATCCTGAAATGTTAGACATTCAGCAATGTCATAGCCTTTTAGCATGATAGTCAGCAGAAGAAGTAATACAGGTAAGACCAATTTACTAGCAAATCTTGTTCTTGGAGATAAATATGAGCATATATATAAAAGACAAAAAGGAGAATCCAGATATATTAGATGCAATAATTTGATAGTTTGTGGTTATCATCCTGATAAGCTGAAATAGGCATTTGTTAAATATATGTATGGAAAATAGCAAGTAATCCCAAAACGCCCAATTACGAGAACATTAGATTCAGCTATATATCACCAGAACAAATTCCTAGTGTGAAATCATTTTCATCTGAAAGGAGCACTGTAATCATTTTTGAGGATGTATGTGTTGCTCCTAAATCTATCCAAAATTGAATAATTCTATTTTTTACACATGGGTGACATCGAAATATTTCTCCATGCTATGTTACTCAGAAGTACCATCATGTACCAATTATTATTCATGAAAACATCTTCCTTTTAGTAACATATAATGGGGGAAGCAGTTATCAAGATGTCTCCAAGATAGCTAGCCGATATATTGATAATGTAAAGGGTGCATTTATAGTTATTAACAGCTACCTCTACAAAGGTGAATTTGTTGTATTTGATCTTAGCAGGTTGGAGAATGATATGCTTACAATTCGACTAAGGTTTGATACTCCATTAAACCTGCAAAAAGAGATAGAGGTGAGGCAGAAGCGTAAGGAAAAAAGTGCCTCACTTAATAAATAGAATTAGTCAAATTGTAGATTTCCTATTTTCTCATAAATTTTTTTTTTCCATAAATTCGAAAAAAATATATTTGGATTTCTATTATATTTGGCTTCGAGCGATGGAATCGTGAGAAGGTGAAAATAAAATTTTACAAAACTCTTCACTCCAAAAAAATTTATTTTTGAGGAGGGATGATTTGTTTGTTCACAAACTTTCAAAGCGCTTAATTATATTACTGATCATAGATGAGAAAATCATAAGTAAATATACACTTCATAGATTTTTATTTCACATCGACGGTAGACAACTATAAAAAAATAAATTATTATAATAAATATGTAACAGCCTACTTCGGTGAAGAATTCATGGTCTGGAAAATTCAGCACACATACAATTATTGTTTGAATCTGAGAAATCTATGTTAATTTCTTCTTCTAGGATATAAAGATATTTAGTTTTGAAATAGTTGATTTTTAGTGAATCGCATGAATATGATTTGCCATGCGTTTTATACATGTAATGCGCATACTCTAATCTTCTAACAATTCTTTCATTACCAGATTCATTAATATGATAATATTCAGGATTTGATAGCCACTTTAACATATAAGTCCATCCTAAATATTCAACGATTTTATAGCCTTTTCGATATAATTCTATAAAAGCAAGTATATATGCTACAAAATTTAATCGTTCACGTAACTAAGCTCTCTTTTTTTCTGCCTACTCGTATAGAGTATCTCTTAGATTGTAGACTTTTGCAGGCAAATTTGCCTGAATAATTGTATTTTTTTGGTTCTGATCTACTTTTTTAAAATATTAAAGTATTTAAATGAAATTTGGTATAATAATATTTGAAAATAAGGATTACTTT